ATGGATCAGTGTAATTTATTGCCAGCTGGTAAATACCGTTAAGCCTTCGTGGCTGTTCGTAGCTGTTCGTGCGTGTTCGCGTCTTTTACCAATACCCAGAAAGTTGGGATTCGCCGGAGAAAGCCAACTATCGGCAGGTAATATAGCGCTGGTCCGCGACTTTGTCCACCCACCATTTGCACATTGCGACGAGCTAGCAATAAAAAAAGCTTTGGAACCTGAAGGATCATCAAATCCAACGATTTTTGCAAGCAATATTCCTCATAGTTGTGGCTGCTAAAACCATCCTTTGAGTTATTATTCATCTTCAAATATTAAAAAAAAGCGTTTCTTTTTTACACATATTTTTCGCTTTGGCACGTTTAAACTCCCTGTGTTTAATCTAATTGATACCAGACCCTAGCTTAATTGGTCGGTTAAGTGTGCGGTTGGAGCTAGATCACATAGCACTAGCTAGATCGGTCCGTTAAGCGGTCGGTTAACCTTGATAACCTCCCTCTGTTTAATCTATTGGATACCAGAAACTAGCTTAATCGGTCGGTCAAGTGGGCGGTTGGTTCTAGATCAGATAAAGCTAGCTCGATCGATCGGCTAACCTAGCTGATAACCACCCTGTGTTTAATCTGTCTGATACCAGAAACTAGCTTAACCGGTCGGTTAAGTGACCGGTTGGAGCTAAACCAGACAGAGCTAGCTCGATCGGTCGCTTGAGCGGTCGGTTAACCTAGCTGATAACCTCCTTCTGTTTAATCTATTGGAAACCAGAAACTAGCTTCATCGGTCGCTCAAGTGGACGGTTGGATCTAGAGCGGCTAGAGCTAGCTGGATCGGTCGGCTAACCTAGCTTATAACCGCCCTGTGTTTGAAATCTCTGATACCAGAAACTAGCTTAATCGATCGGTTAAGTGTGTGTTTGGAGCTAGATGAGATAGTGCCAGCTGGATCGGTCGGTTAACCTAGCTGATAACCTCCATCTGTTTAATCTATTGGATACCAGAAACTAGCTTAATCGGTCGGTCAAGTGGCCGGTTGGAGCTGGATTAGACGGAGCTAGCTCGATCGGTCGGTTAAGTGGTCGGTTAACCTAGCTGGTTACTCGCCTCTGTTTAATCTATTTGATACCAGAAACTAGCTTAATCGGTTGGTTCAGTGTGTGGGTGGAGCTAGATCAGATAGAGCTAGCTGGATCGGTCGGTTAACCTGCCTGATAACCACCTTGTGTTTAATCTATTTTATAAAAGAAGCTAGCTTGATCGGTCTGTTAACCCAGCTGATAACCTCAATCTGTTTAATCTATTTGATATGAGAAACCAGCTTAATCGGTCGGTTAAGTGTCTGGTTGGAGCTAGATGCGATAGAGCTAGCTGGATCGGTCGGTTAACCTAGGTGAGAACCTCCCTCTGTTTAATCTATCTGATACCAGACACTAGCTTAATCGGTCGGTCAAGTGGCCGGTTGGAGCTGGATCAGACGGAGCTAGCTCGATCGGTCGGTTAAGCGGTCGGTTAAGCGGTCGGTTAACCTAGCTGGTTACTCGCCTCTGTTTAATCTATTTGATACCAGAAACTAGCTTAATCGGTCGGTTGAGTGTGTGGTTGGTGCTAGATCAGATAGCGCTAGCTCGGTCGGTTGGTTAAGCGGTCGGTTAACCTAGCTGATAACCTCCCTCTGTTTAATCTATTTGATACCAGAAACTAGCTTAATCGGTCGGTTAAGTGTGTGGTTGGAGTCAGATCAGACAGAGCTAGCTCGATCGGTCTGTTAAGCGTTGGGTTAACCTAGCTTATAATCTTTCCAGTCGCCCAAAAGTAGGTTGAACCGCCGGATCGTACGTTAAACTTTTTAAGGTGGATCTGGCTTAACCAGGTGAAAACCGTGTTATCTAGATCCAACGGCCTGATTCTAGCTCCATTTTTTTTGCTTGGATAAAGCTAATTGAAAATGAAAGCAAACAGACTATGCAATATGTTTCGGCTTTGTGGGAAGAAAATAGTTGTGTTTCACTGTTAACGGAGTTTTTTTATGGGGTCTTCTTTTTTTCATTGGCTTCTATTTTGATATCTTTGAAAGAAATTTTGTTTTACAAAATTGAGAAAGAAAAAAATATTAAATGAATGGAATCTTCTGAATTTGAAATGTGCAATATCGCCATGCAATAATAAGAAATTTCTATTGACCACAAAAATACTTATAGTGCAACAAGGAGCGAGGTCGCATTGTAACTATCACAACGCGTTTTTGAAAAAGTTTGTCTGCTTGGGCAGTGCATTATCAATCATTCTGATGTTCATGTACTGAGAGGATCATTTATCCTGCCAGATCCGTTATACCTGAACACAAAATAATTAAAAAATTTTGAATTCACACATGACAGCAGATATTAAAGAAGGATTTTCAATATTTGAACGTAAAAACAAAAGGTTTTTCTCGTTAAAAGATTTTCTGAGCAAAGAAATGCTTGTAATAAGGCTCTAAAAGTTTTCATAGCTTTTGATCGCAGTCATCGATTTTGTCAAAATGTTTATCTGCCTATCTTCTGTGATAGTGTACACAATATCTTTCTCATTGAACAGATCGATTCATTATGTATAGAGAGAATAAATGGACTTAAATGTATCCGAACAGCATTAGAATTCTGTAAATAAGTCGAGCTTCGTGTATTACAAATGGGTCAGAATTCTGGCGTATTTGTAATGTCAATTAATTGACACAGAAAAGGCAAAAATTGACGAGTTTTGTCATATTCATATTCTCGTGTTTCTTTTGTTGTTGTATATGATGATATGCGTCCTATGGAATCAATCTTTCCATATAAAGAAAAATTGTGTCTTTTTTCCCTTTATCCGAGAAAAAAAAATAATGACACATAAATAGTAAAAGAACTGAATCATGTATATATAACCGAATTTTCCCTGTTGATGTAATAATCAAGATCAAACAGAAGAAGTACATACAAGTACAAACAGGAAAAGTACATACAATATCGTTGATATAGAGCCCACGTACACATAACAAAGATTCGCATATTTCAGATTATTATTACACAACTGACCCAGCAATCTGTGTTATAAAAACTACCAAAATGGACTTCGACAAGAATGCGGTCTCAAACGAGTTGTTAAGTATGTACTTATTTTATCGATAAGTGCAAAAAATAATAGTTTTTGGATTTATTTGCTACTGTAAGTTTTTGTCAATGAAAAATATGTACAACCTTCAGTCAGATACTGTAAGAGATTGTCATACCACTGATTTGTTTCGCGTTTAACGTGAGGATATGAAAAGGAATTTGGATTTTAGTTCAGGACATCTGCAATTATACCTGTTACTCATGCACATGATTTATCTACGAAATTGACCGAAAAACATTGAGAATTATAAATATTTATAAACTATCGTATTTCGAACTCTTCAGTGTACGGGATTGAGTTAATGATATTTCTTTTTTATTTCTGAAACCTAACACTGGATGAACTTTACATTCGTTATACAATATTTGCAAATTCTTTTTGTACATTAAAGATATCTGTATTTTTGTTGAATATTCCAGTGTTATTGTAGTATTAGTTGATGATCTTAAAAATGTTTATTAAAACGATTAATATTACATCTTTTTGGAATCAGTAGGCCAAATCCTCTTGTTAAGTATTTTCTAATTATTTACGTACCTACTAGAGGCGCATGTTTGCAAATTAAGCAGATAGAACGAAAACACTGTTAAGCCTTTTTCTCCAGTACCACTTTAGCATAAAATAAGAGTAGTTTTATATTTTAGCCTCGTTAGAGACTACTCTCATAAGACTTTTTCACAAAGTTTTATATCATATTAAAAAAAAGAAACCGTAGAACTTTTCTTAGAACCGTTTTTCATCCATGTATCGAACTTGTACGGTCTGCTCGCATTCATAATATTGTTTTCTTCTTCGTTTTTGGATATTGCTGACCCCGTATGAAGTTTTTTGCTTTTTCTAATCATTATAAAAATCATTATTTTATTTTATCAACTTTAACAAAGTATAAAAATAAGTATGCAATCTTTCAGCTTCTTTAGAAGCCATCATCAGGCATTATAACTTTGTTAACAATTTTAGTTTAGCAGTTGTCTTTTTCTTTTTTCGTTCTTTATTATTCAATAATGTGCGGCTTGTCTGAAGGTAACGCTGTGACATTTTAGATACAGTAATTTTCATTTTTCTCGAAAACTGTAGGAGCTTGAAAGTTCGTTCTAAGCCATTCAACTCAGCTCACCAAACTCTGCTTACAGTATAAAAATGGAGATCTATCAACCGATGTTAAAATAAACTTGAAAAAAATTATATTAAACTTTTAAATTTAGCTCTACACTTTAAAACTTAAAAACCTTATAAAATCCGTTCTTGATGTCAGAACTTCGAAAAAAAGTATGTCATTTTTAAAGAAATTTAATTCCTTATCGAATACTTTTCAGTTTTTTCAAGAAATTGGCTAGGTGAGCAATTTGAAAAAAATGAAAGTTTTTAAAAATTTTAAAATTAAATTTTTACATTCAAATTTTTATTTTTATTTTTTAAAAAGATTACGTTCGTAATCAGCGCGGAAAACTGCATCTAGTGATAGCCTTATATCAGTTTTCCAATGAAAATCATTTTTGAAAAACTTAATCACCGAAGTGTCACGTTACATGGAGAAGCCGTATGGATGAATGTGGCACTATAAAGGACGAAAAAAGAAAAAGACAACTACTAAACTAAAATTATTCACAAAGTCATAATGCCGGATGATGGATGGCTTCTGTAAGAAGTTGAAAGATTGCATACTTATTTTTATACTTTGTTAAAGTTGATAAAATAAAATAATGATTTTTACAGCAATTTTATACTTCATTTATTCTAATCTATTTCCTACTGCTTTACCAATTGGATTTTTACTTGCCATTCACATTTTGTATATATAACCGAGGCGCATATTTCTAATTTTTATAATTTGATCTTTTAAGCTATATTATCTTTATAGATTTGATTATGCATGAAGGAAATCTACAACATGGTATGTGTCATTAGCACTTCATTTAAAATAATTTTTTGTTTCATAAAATATTTTGATACTAGACAACAATCTCACCGACTACTTAGACAATGATACAAATATATTGAACTTCATCCCATTGTCAAATTTTCTGGAATCAAGTAAATGGATCGTTGACAGATACTTGTCAAATAGATAAATAATAGTCTGTTTAATTTAGGGAACGAGCCACAACTAGATGAATCAAATGATACTTCATTCGACTCACCATTATATATCCAAACTTTCATACCAGAATCACAGCAAAGTAAAGTAGATATTTTTAGTTCAACGTATGATAAAATAAAATGTTAATTTACTGCAAATGGGGGTTTTGTCGTTGTATTTGAAAGCTAGCATACCACTGCTCGCTCATATTTTTACGAAAATTGACTCCGCTAAAGACTCTAGGATATATGGACAGTATATATATATATAAACCATTCGTAAATCACTCATCAGTCATAGTGTAGAGCTAGTGTACAGAGAATTTGGAAGAAGTCAAATAGAGAGACAGCAGCGATTTCATCAACAAAATTTTGGATAGGGAATGATCATTGTAGTCTTAGTACTTTTCGGATGACATAGAAAACATGTCTGATCTCGCGGATAGAACCAGAATAGCTGCTTGACAAGGAGGCAATTAAAGCTTTAAACCATTTTCACCGTTATTTCTTAAGAATTTCAGCTAAATTTTGATCGAAACGTTTTCTTTCAGAATAAACCTGAAAATCATACGAATAGTGTAAATTGATATGTTGCTCACGAATATCATAGTTTAAAGGTTTAATTTCCTCCTTGTCATGCACCACCTCTGGTCATATGAGATCCTGACGGATCCCCATACTCCGACGAACCCTGTAACAAACGTTATTCAGAAGTTCATAACATACTTAGCTTATAGAGTTGTATTTTTCTCACATATGTGGCTCTAAATATAATCGTTCGTAGATTATCGCACATAGTACGTCTCTATTTACCTTTTGTAGTGAATTTTTCATCTAATACTCAACAAATATATTCAACTACGGAATTATCTGATGTCGTTGATCCATCGGAACAAATTCAAATCATTGCTCAACCGGAAAAAGAGTACCATCCACGATATCGAACCGATTTTAACAAAGAGAAAAGGCGTGCATTACGATATATTCGTTCCGATGAAAAAAGTATGGAATATCCAACAATCAAAGTATGATCATAAAAGAACGAGTAGTCTCTTTAATTGCTAACTATTTTCTTTTCTCATTAGATTCCATCAATCTATTGCAATGCGAATTTAAAATTATATATTCGTGTGTGTTTAATAACAGTTCCTAACTCGAAAACTTCAATTCAATACATCCATCCCTATTCGTTGGACACACCGGAACTACCTGTAGATGGCGTTATTCGGAATTCTATAGATAACGCCATTTATTTCAAAATAACACAAGCGGATATAGACTCAGCTGGTGTAAAAAGGTTAGCTCATACACTCATAGAACTTTACAAAAAAATGTGTTCTTTGTGAAACTAGCACAAGTTCCATTTACTCTCCGAGAGTAAATGGAACTTGTGCTAGTTAGTGGTTTTTACCTAAATTTTGTTTTGCTCATTGGTTGAAAAAAGGCGCCAATGAGAAAAATAAAAATTTAGGCAAAAACCACGTTGATTATGTCGACGCCAAAAAAGAAGTGAAGATGTAATTATAAGGAACCCGCTGTCGGATTCACCGACAAGTTTTGTACCTGGTGCCCAATTTTTATCCAATTTGGTTCAGCGCGAAGCAAGCACAATTTTTGTAATGATGATTTGCCCTGACGGATTTTAAAAATCCAGTCTTAATAAACGCATCATCAACTTTCATGTAAAGAAATTCCAATACAACCACTTTTTAGAGCACATTGAGTTTCTCGTATAAAAATTCATGAGCACTAAAGACGCGGCTTCTATGGAGATATGAGACTTTTACTAATACCAACCGAGGGATTCATTTTTTAAGTAAAGTGAACACTAACATACACTATAAACTGGCTGTATAGGAACTTCTTCAAATGAAAGTTGATGGTGGGTTTGTAGAGATGTATTGAAGAAAATTCTAAGGATATTATGGATTAGAGTCATCATCACGATTATAAGTTACGCTTAATCAAGTATATCTCAAAAAGGCAAACGAGCGGGCACTCGAAATAGTTCCCTTATCCTTTTTTCATTTATACGAACTAGAGAATTAAAATAAGCACTTTAAAAGCATGTAAAGCTACCTATGTGTTCAATATCAGCAAAATACTGACGGTTATCGAGCGGTATATCGTGAAATAACCGCCATGTAAACCCAGAAATAACTACACGATTTCCGTGCGGTTATTTTTCTAATTATGCATTTGTAGGACGTCTCAGTCAGCCACCTATACGTTTTGAAAATTCGTTTTAACGCGGTTATAGCCTTCATAGGGCGCGAGAATATACAGTTTTACCATGAATACGGCGAATTTCTTGAGCTTTAAATATAGGCCTTAATCAAAACCGCGTTTTTGCCATCAATAATTCGCGAGAAACGCGTTTATGGCGATCATAACTTTTTAAAAACGCGTGTTCAGTCGCAATATACTTCAAGACTCGCCAAAGTCACCGAATTTTTCGATTTTAGGACTCAATTGAAACGAATTTAACGCGTTTTGGCTAGAAATGACATTTGAAAAACGCGTTTCGTAGACTAAAGTCGCAAAATAAGACATTTCTATAACAAATAATGAATGAGAAACACGTTTTAACGCACTGCAATGCGACAAACGCGAGATTGGCTCAAGAACCGCTAAAAAACCAATTTTGTATAAAAAGCGCGATAAAACGCGAGTTTAGCTTTAAAGTATCGCGCGAAACTCTGTTTATTAAAAATTTAGCGCGTTTAATGCAACCTATGATTACCTCAAACGCGATTGTGGCGCTTTTTTTTAAACAAATTTCTCGCGGAAAATTTTTCGTAAACAGAATTTCGCTCGATATTTTGAAGCTAAAACCGCGTTAAAACGAATTTTCAGAACATGTAGGTGACTGACTGGAATGAGTTCGAAACTGTTTCGAAATAAAAAGCACTATATGGGTATATTCTTGATTCATTTGAAGAATTTATTCTGAGTTTATCAACGTTTGGCGCTATATATAGGACTTTTGATCTTCGAAGAACTCAAAGCGTGAAGCTCATTCCAGAGAAGATTACTTATTTAGTTAGTTATTTTCTGCGAGACTTAGTTTTCTATTCTGAAGCTGGAAGCATGAAGCGAAACGTCTATGATGCATGACATACAAGTGCACAACAATTTTAGCTTTATATTTCTGAACCGTTATTAAACTGCTTTAATAAAATACATTTGACGATGCTTAACTCGACGGTGTGAAAACAACGCTGGATGGATCTGTTTCAATAAAATATAGTTACCTTGATTTATCCATAATTTTTTGGCTCAATGTGCGACTCCATACAGATTTTCGTTGATAAAAATTAAATTTAAAAAACGCATAAAATTTCGAATTTGTTTTTGTAAAAGTCAAAACTTTTTATTTACCAGACTGATTTACCCATTGAATGTTTCAACTGATCTTGAAACGGGCAATATTTCTAAGGATTTCTCAGGTCTAAAATACTTTAAAAGCAGTTTAGACTACAAAAAATGCGATGAATACTGATCTTAGCACTACATTATAAAGTACAGAAATGCCCTACTACTTCGTTAGTTTACAAAACAAGGTATGACACTCACGTTGTTACCTAAAAGAAGAGCATCAAAATCCATGTTTTTTTTCTGCTTTTGAACTCTTAACGAACTTATGGTCAGCACGTTCATCATTACTATGAAGATCGTAAAAACAGAAGATCAATAACGATCTGAAGTACTAAAATCGCGGAGAAACTAGAAATAGAAACTAAAAGTTTAGTTATACAATTGTTATATGCTGTTTTATTACTGTTTTCTACTTACAGGTTTATTCGACTAATGCTTGTCAAGTCTAAACAAGACATACTGAAATTATATGGTCCCTTACGAGCATTCAGAAATTTGAGTAAGTGTTAATTGTAAGATAATAAAAGTTCTTTTCGAAAACTCCTACAAAAGCTATATCTTTATGGCCTACCACATTTTTTAGCAGATAATCAATCATCAAACAGAAACAGGATATTTCTGGATGTTCTAGTTATATGAAAGCAATATAATGGTATAAGATTGAGAAATTTTCGAATAATCGTCCTTCTATCTGAAACTATCAACTGATGAGAGAATCTCTTCAGGTGCCCACCTCCGATTTCGATGATTTTTTGCCGATAGATACTATATAGTGTCCTAAAATAAAAGCCCTAAAAGGATTTGTGCTCTTATTACAGTCTTTCAAAAGTTATGAATTTTCTTATTTTCTCTGTACGATGCATTAGGTTAAATCCGAGTTTTAACCGACTAAAAACACTGGAATCAGATCGGATCGGCCGATGAGGAATCAGCATCAGATCGGTGATTTTTCGAGGTTTTTCGAAAAGTAGTATATGTAAAAGTACATACTTCAAAGACTTTCATAGGCGTCGGCGAGGTATTAGAGTGAGGTTTCAACGAAACGGGAACTACCCGTCAAAAGAGAAAATAATAGAGAAAGTTGTTAAAAACAGACTGGCTTCAGTCACAAGATTAAAGTTTTGTACTGACACAAAAGGCTGAACATTTCTTGTGTGGTAGTACTACATGTCTATTACAGCCATAGAAAATGTCAGCCTTCCAACTTGATATTTCGACGTTACGAAATTTTCAACGATAGCGAAAAAGAACTTTTCGGGAACACATGGATATCCTTATGAAAAGAAAATTGTGTAACTTCGGAATAATGAAGTTGAAAGGCTGACATTGTCCATGATTATAATAAACATCTAACACTACTACACAAAAAATATTCAGCCTTTTTTACCGTGTTTTGGCTTAATTATGAACTTTTTACTATTTAACCTAATGCATTGTACAGGGAAAATAAAAGAATTCATAACTTTTGAAAAAAATAATAAACACAAATTGTTTTAGGATTTTTACTAGAAAACTATATCGGCACATTGTAGTCGGAGGTGGGTACATGAAGAGATGCCCTCGTGAATAAAGCATTGCTATCTCAGAGAATTTCTAAACATTACACGTTCTTTAGTTTTCTATATACTTGTATCTTCATTCTTCATGAACCTTTAACGCCACCTGTATATTTTAGACGAAAATCATGCTCTTATTGAAAACAATCAGACATGCATCCAGAATGCTAAAGAAATGATTAAATATTATGATTTATCCAAATCACAATTAGTCTTTACCATATGTCAACAACAGAATGATGATTCATCGAAATTCTATTCATTTCCGGAAACATCAGCTTATTCAGAAATAATGACAGAAGAAAGCGAGCAGGATATACAAAGAAAGCGAGCAGCAAGTACGAATTTTCTTACTTTTCATCCTATAACCGATTGTATCCTTGAACACTTATTTTATAGAAGATGAACATGTTATTTGTCGTGTACACAAATATGCACCAAAAATGGGAGGTTGTTTGGGCAATGATGTTATTCTACTATTTCTTACAACAAGAATCGATAAGAACAGTGAGGAATAAACTCTGCAAAAATTAATCTGCTGTAACAAACTTAACCCTTTCAGATCTACAAATACATTTTGAAACATCTGAATGGTTGGCACAGGTTAACAATGAAGATATCGATATTGAGGATAGAATGATATCGTTTAAATCTCCGTCTTATCTAAATCAAAATTTAAATGTACCTGTCAGTACCGAGATTATTTTAGCACAGAATCAAATCGTATTTCAACGTTTACAGTTTTATTATATGCCCCAAAATGTTTGTAAGTTGTGTTACTTTTATATATATCTTCATGTGATTTATAAAAGTATTTCGATCGATTTTTGACATTACCAAATCCAATACACACGCGTATGCATGCGGCTGTGCTGACATGTTCTTTGCTGAAAACACCATTTGTTTGTCTCGATCTTTTTTGAATAGATTTCAGAAAATCTTCTAAAAAACACTGAAAACGTGATTTTGGCCATATGAGAATGAGCGCTATCAAAAAAGGAGACTTCGAGTTATCACACCATGTCGTATTTTATAAAAAAAATTCAATAAAACCTGTCATTTCTGACAGGAGAAGAGAACCTTCAACATTTTATTACACCATACCTCTACTTTTCTACTAAACATTTACGCTATATTTATTTTCAAAAATGCTTAGTGTTGCTTCTTTCATGTGACCAAGAAAATAACAAATGTTATTAGTACTTACAGATTTTACATATAGGTGGAGTTGGTTATACTACGTTCGAATAATAATATTCAGATAGATACTTAATAAAACCCAGATGAAATTCATCTTCCAACGTCATATAAGATCTCCCGTTTTCTTAGGAAATGTTGTATAACAAGAGCTTACTGCATGATCTTACAAGATCTTGTCTTAGGATGTTGTAAGATTCTGCGGAATCTTGCAACTTCTAAGATCTTACAAGATCAGCTCATAAGACGTGACAAGTTTTTGAAACACGAAAGCGTATGATCTTACAAGATCTTGTAAAATGTTTGTCAATGACAACTTGTCGTTGAGAGGTGGGACTTACGATTATTTCTTATCACTGGAACATATGATTTCCTGTTATAAGATCTTATATGATCTTGCAAGAAGCGATGACTCATTCTTATGGGTATTGCTGAAAGACGCGAACATCCACGAACACCCACGAACGCCTCCAAATTAAAATCTGAGTTAGCCAATAGATAGAGCTCGTCGAGCTGAGTATAGCAATCCCTAACGAACACCCAAAACTTTTTTTATAGTTTCGCTTTTTAAGCATACATTTTGAATGAACATCCACGAACAGCTACGAACACCCAAAGAACACCGACGAACACAAAGAAGGAAGGGTGAGAACACCCAAAAAAGTGCGCCAAATTCAACTTCAGGTTATTCTGGTCTGAGGGGTCTTTTAGCAATACCCCATTCTTATCACATAAATTTTGCTCTAATATTGAGTATAGATGTATAACATGTATAACTTATGAGAAAACTTAGAATTTGTTCCGTTCTTCGACTTCACACATCAACTGAGCGCAAATAAACTGCATGGCTATAAGGAAGTGGTTAGACACTATCCTAAGGACGTTTGCCTACCTATGCTAGAAAATATTATGAATAGTGAAAGATACGTTTTTAAGAGGGTCTAGATGAAATTTATAGAACACGATCAGGCACATAATCTTGTAAGATCTGATGAATTCTTACAATGAGGAACCATATTCCAGTCGGGATATATATTCCGATCGAGCTATATATCCCAATGGGGATATAAAAATGTATCTTGATCGGGATATTATAGCCCAATCGGGATATATTTTTTTCGATAGCCCGATCGGGATATGGTTTCCTTACAGTAGGCTCGTAGTTTAAAACAGACCAAAATTAATTAATGGGGTAGTTGTAGTGCAAAGGTGATGTAGAACACAACATTTTAACGACAGAACGTGAGTGACGAAAACTCTTCGGCATTTTTAAAATTTTAAACTTTTGAACGCAATTTACGCATCCGAAAACTTTTTTTGTAAACACACCGTGATTTTAACTGAATATTTCACTGGATGTGGCTATCTTTTGTATGTTCAGAGTAAGAGAAAATATCAAGATACTTCGGAAAGTGTTAAAAATAGCTAGTAAAAAAAGTACAATATTCTGATCGGGATACAGAATATGAACCTCGAGAATTATTTAAAAAGAGGTTGCTGACCGGAAAAAAGACTTGGTCCCAAGGAAGAAAGAATCTGATACTGTTTTTTACGCCCTTTTCGACGGTCTGGTCAAAACTTTCCGTGAACATCATCATTTTTTCGCTAATGAATTTACTTTAAAAAATCGAATTTATATCCCGATCGGGCTATATTTTGATTCAAAACGGGATATAGAGCATGAGACTCTACTGTCTTACGTGAGCTTATGAAATCACACATTGAGAGTGGGGTGGCATGTAGCTAGTATCGTTTCCGGATGCCAGTAGGCGTTATTACGTACCCATGTGAATATTATTCGATCATAGTCACCAGTTCGATGAACTGCAGCTATTGACTGTATTAGATTTTAATTCTGGACTGTTAGTAGGTATCAACATCTTTTCTATAAAATCTCTGACTTATCTTTTATGGATTCATTCTGTTGTATGCCGAATAATGACCGAATGTTGTACTTAGTTTCGCAAAGATAATTTATTTGAATTTTAGTGTACGCAAATATATATTGTAAAAATTGTCAAATATCGGAGGCAAAATACAATAGTTTATTATTTTCAAAATTATTATCACCAAGTGATTTATCACCAAAACGTACTTTTATGTCATTTGTGGCTGGACAATTGAAAGATGGAGAATTAAATCAAGTTCCATCAGAATCAATTGAGTCACATTCGACTGTGGTATGTGATATGTCATTAGTTGTACTGTAATTTATAAGTTCTCGTAGTTATAAATAACTTATTAAAGGACAAGTCTGGATAAGTGGATTTTCCATCCTAAAGAATTTTTGAGGAAAAACTACATGACTGTAATCAGCGTCGAAAACTGAACAAAATGGCCGATTCAGTTTGTCCAAAAAGCCACTTTTAA